TCAAGCCAGACCTCCCATATTCATTAGGCAATGCTGTCTAGAAGAAACAGCATAGATTTTGGTGACAGACAGGCAGGACTTTAAAGCTCCTGCTGGCACTGATCAGCTGTGTGACTTCCTTTAATCTCAACACATCTTTTAGAGACCAGAAATATGCATCTTGTGAACGCTAGAGATAATGCAGCAACAATGCAAGGCTTAATAGCCCCTCAAAACTACTCCATATTATTGTTGCTGTTACCATGGTTACCCAGAAGCAAAGGAGAAAAATTGTTGTTGGTGGGTACCATTGAGTCAGTTCTTAGAGCAAACCTATGGTCCTACACCATCATCACAATCATTGGTAAGCTTGAGCCCGTTGTTGCTGCCACTGTGCCAATCCATTTCACTGGGCACTCAGTTTTCCACTATTTCACTGACCCTCCACTTTGCAACTATGATGTCCTTCTCTAGGGACTGACCCTTTCTGATAATATGTCTGAAGTAATGAGACGAAGTCTTGCCATCCTAACTTCTAAGGAGCATCCTATCCTGGCTGTACTTATAACACAGATGTGTTTGTGTTTCTAGCAGTTCATGGTACTTTTCATGTTCTTCTCCAATACCATAACACGAATGCATCAATGCTTCTACAGCTTCCTTATTCACTGCCCAACTTTCATATGCATATGAGGATATTGAAAATTATCAGGGCCTGGGTCAGGTGCACCTTATTCTCAAACTGACATCTTTGCTCTTCAACACATTAAAGAGGTCTTGTGCAGATTTGCCTTATGTAATATGTTGCTTAATTTCTTGACTGCTGCTTCTGTAAGTGCTGATGGTGGATCCAAGCAGAATGAAGTCTCTGACAACTTCAATCTTTTCTCCATTTGTCATGATGTTATTTACTGGCTCAATGGTAAGAATCGTTTTCTTTACATTGAGGAGCAACCCATACTGAAGGCTGTGGTCTTTGTTCTTCATCAGTAAGTATTTTAATTCCTCTTAGCTTTCAGCAAACAAGGTTGTAGCAACTGCATATTGCAGGTTGTTAATGAGTTTTCCTCTAGTCCTGATGCTATATACAAAACTTGCTTGTGTTCAGGTCTAATCAGATTGCTCAAATAGCAGATAAAAATATTTGTATTAAATCTCAGATTCCTAGCCTTTTGTGCCCAGAACAAAGTATCTAGAACTCCAAAATAACATTTTGATGAAGTATCTAATTATGTGCTAATAACAGATTAGTAATGCAGTGTAACTCCAGTACTTTTTAAAAATGGTGTTCTATTTAGAAGGTTATATCATTAGTATTTTAAGGATTAATTTTAATCATTAATCTTTACATGTAGGATAGGAAATGAAAATAGCATTCCTACTGAATGCTAATGTGTCAGTAATTTTAAAAGATTTCCTGTGACTAAGTTAAAAACATCTCACCAATGTATTATATAATTTCCACTAGAGCAGCTACAGTTCTCCTCTAGTGTATAGAGCATGATTATAATCCCTGGAGATGTGATTCAGTAAAGAAGCAGAGGGAAACAAATATAAAACCATGGAAGTAATGTATACAAGGTTACTTAGTAGTGTCTGACACACGTAAGTGCCTCATATAATAGGTGTTATTATTTTGAAATCTACTTAGATTTTTCTCTAATTTGTATTGGCTTAATTAGCTCATATTTTGAACATTAGGCTATTTATGTTAAAATAAGCTGTTTAAGTGTATTGTAAGTCTGTAGAAATGAGTCATCTAAGTTCATTAAATCAAACACATATTCTCTTCTACAGGACAATATATACAATGATGCTGGCTTTTCAGAGATATGAAACCCTGACTCATCAGCATCAGTTACATTCATAATGCTGTATTGATTACGGGACGGGGGTGTGCACAAAGTACATTTGTCTATTCTGGGGAAGTTTTCAGCAACCAAGGTTAAAATAATAAGGGGTTTCTTTTAGACTCATTAAAATAACTGGAAAACTCTTTCCTAAGCATCATGATTAATCAAGATTTAATACACCTGAGGATTCCTTTCATGGCATTTGGTTCTTTATTATCAGCATTTCCTTTTTTTTTTTTTGATTGGTAGGGAAGGGAAGTGAGAAGACAGGGAAAATTAAAAAAATACTAAGATAGATGATTCAAAATCTTCTGGAGTTTCCAAAGGCTCTAAAATAAAACAATGCTATTGTTCTTCTTGTAACTATGTGTGGGTAGGGGCATGTTTTTAAATAGACAGAGATATAACAATAAGGTACAAAGTCTGTTTAAATAAACAAGACAATGTGATTGCGATATTTGACATTAACTATTGAAAGAAAGGCTATTGTTGAGACTGAATTCACAAGAATGGTTAACAGGTCTCACTGAACTTATTTGCATAAATGTTCTAATTTCACTAACTGGAGAAAATTCGTCTTTATAGGTTTCTTATATTCATTTTCCGTGAGGGGTTTTACTTGGATGAAAGCATACTAGTCATTTGACCAAATCAGACAAGGTAATAATAGATATATAAAAACAAGAAAGAAACAAAGAAAAAGAATAGTGTGTCTGAACTGATTAGCTTATCTGACTGCCCCAAATTGACCCTAATAAAAATATAACTGAAGCAGGTATTACAAATTCGATCTTCATTTTTCATAAGCTTTAAAGATTTTTAAAATAGTTAGCAATATTTATACTGTGTAATATGGTGCTTTGGTGGTGCTGTGGGGTAGGTGTTGGGCTACAAACCACAACAAAGTCCAGGGTTCAAACCCACCAGCTACTCCACAGGAAAAAGATGAGGCTGTCTGCTCCTGTAAAGAAAGCCTTGGAAACCCCAGGGAATTCTACTGTGTCTATAGGTGGCTGTCAGTTAGAATCAACTCTATAGAAGTGAGTGGTTGGTGGTAGATACCATCTTATAATTTTGTAGTCAACCACACAATTTACTGTTTGTAAGTACTGAATACAACAGAGACAAATGCTACACCAAAGCATTCCTGGGGGCACAAATACCATTTGAAAGAGGATTGCAAGGTTTCCAGATATGCTCTACCTTCTGTGGTGGCAGACATGAGTGAATGTTCCAGCATTTCCAGGGTTGGGGTTGTGCTTTGCTGCTTCTCCCTGGAATTTAGGCATGGCCATCTGACTTGTTCTCAACTATCCAAGATGGCTAAACTTCGTCTCTCATACCTTGGACATATTGTCAGAAGGGAACAGTCGCTGGAGAAGGATATCATGCTTGGTAAGATGGAGGATCGGAGAAAAAGAGGAAGACCCCAATGAGATGGATCAGCCAGGTGACATCATTGATGGACTCAAGTGTGGCAGCGATAGTGAGGTTGGCCCAGGATCAGACATTGTTTTGTTCTGCTGTGCATGGGGTCGCTATGAGTCGGTTCTGACTCGATGGCACCTGACAACAACAACATCCATGGGTCGTGGACAGATCTGTCACTGCTGGACGGAGCTAGTATGAGACTCTCTTTACCCCTTTGTGACCACTGATGCTACAGATGGTGGCAACTTCAAAGCGGGCTCCCAGGGTGAGGGAGGCAGGAGCTGGGTGCCTGTCGGCCTGAGCTGGGCATGAAACCTGTGTGAGGAATAACCTATGTCACAAAGCCACTGACATTTTAGGGGAACAATTGAATCCATCTTCTTTGCTTGGAAAAGACAAGAGAGACAAAATGTGTTGGGTGCACAGGGAAATTTATTTGTCTTTATGATTTACATGTTATAACTGAGCACACAAAAGAACAAACACTGTCAAGATGGTCATATGCAGCTTAGGTAATGGCTGGTCCCGGTGCAATCACACAAATGTTCATTCAACTTAGAGATGAGTTTCTTTGTAATGGTTTATTTTTTTTTCAGTCCCCAAGGCTTGCACAGCTCAGTATGAACATTTCTGCTATTTCATTATCATCAGGCACGTGATGTTTACCGATTCCCAACAAAAAAGTCTTTAGACCACAGAACACATTGTCAAGAAACCCATTTGTGAGGTTATTACAGTTCGATGCAGCTTAGCTATCAGACCGATACATGAAACATGAAAATTAACAAGTGGAATCTTAGAATTTCAATTACTTTAAAATAATTACCACAATATTTGTGTGTGCGCACAAGTTTTCCATTGATTTCTTTGGTTTTAAACATTATAACTCTATCTATAGTCACTGACAATATATATATATATATATATATATATATATATATATACACACACACACACCTATATACATATATTCATATATATGTATATGTGTGTATATATATATACACACACACACACAAGAGGACTTCAAAAAGTTCATGGAAAAATTATATTCTTTTTAATTCGTTTTCCATGAATCTTTTCTAGCCCTCTCATAGCTGTATTTGTACCAAACATCAAAATTCAAAGCATTAAACAAAATTTCAAAAGGTAAAAATGGAATTACTGCTTCAGTATAAAAGAGATCTGGCCCGGGTGGGTGCTACTGTTATTATTGCATTGTATTGGAAAACTATCCTAGAAATCAAGGAATGTACCCACAGCAACCTGCTTGAAGTATAATTTGGTTGAACATTATCAGCTATGAATGTGTGGCATTGAGGGTTAATGTGCTGGACTGCAAGGTTGGTTTGAACCACAAAGTCAGTGGCTCAAGCTCCCCAATTGCTCCTAGGAAACCCTATGGGTTGCAGGAAGTCAGAACCAACTTGACAGCACTTAACAATAACCCTCACTAAAGCTATCCTGATCTTGTCCTTAATGAACAAAACAAAGTGAAATAGCATAAATAAATAAGTTTACCTAAGGGGATACAATAAATAGGCTACAGACACCATAACAAAGCCCTTGGTGCTGTACAATTAAACAATAACTTTGGAGTTCTAAGGTCTCTGAAACACAGCCTATGCTTCTTAACACAAATGTATTGCTGGTATACAGCTGACAGGTGAAGAGAAGAAAACATTTCTGCTATTGTCATCACTTAAAAATGGAAATATAGTAAAGACAGTTGCACACTCTGCCTTTTGGGAATTCACTTGGGTATGTACCATCAGTTTTTGACCCTTGCCCAGTTGTAGAATATAAATCTTAGGGATTAAAAAACATACTAGTCCTTCATATCTTAGTGGTTTCTTGATCTCCGGAAGAGCTACAGAGACAGAAGAATGGAGGTTCAGAAGTTTTGCTGCCGCCTTTTCTTTGCATCCATAGCATCCAGAATGGGCTGTCTTTTTGCAGTATATCTTTGACGAAGTTCTTCTATCTCTCGTTCCATCATGGGGTCCAATGCTTTTAACCGCATCTGCAGTTCTTCTAAACTTAGATTCTTTAACTAGAGATAGAAAAAAATGAAAACATTAATGAAGTATCTTCACTTTCAAGTTATCTTCACTAATTATCGTTTCCAAAATCCTATATAGGTCGCTATGAGTCACAACTGACTGGATAGCACTGGGGTTTTCATAGCTTAAATTTTAATAAATGCCAGCATGAGTGTTCCTGCGATTCTTTACACTGTCCTGGAAATGGAGTTCATGAACATTCAGGACTGTAACACAGCCACTGAAGGAGGACATCTTGTAAGAATCTCCAGTAATTTGCAGCAGGATAATCAGAGCCTCAGCAAATGAGAAAAAGCACGTCTGCTGATGAAACACATTGCTGAATAAAGGCAGAAAGACAAGTCCAGCAGCACTCTCGCAGACTTTGAGGACAGCGGCATACCTCATTGTACTGTGGTTTGCTCTACACAGAATCAGTGCTTCACAGATTCTGTATTCTTAACAAACTGCAGGTTTGGGCAACATTGTTGAGCAAATCTCTTGGGTCATTTTCCAAAAGCATGTTGCTAACTTCATGTCTCGGAGTAACATTTTAGTAAATTCTTGCAATAGTTCAAACTTTTTCATAATGCTATTGCACACTGTGGACTATTATCTGTGCTGTAGGATCATAACTGGACTGCGAACCACAAGGTCAGCAGTTCAAATCCACTAGCTGCTTCTTGAACCCTAAACAAGGTCACTAAGAGTCAGAACTGACTCGACAGCACTTAACAACAACAACATTGCACAATTAATAAACTATCACTGTTGTTGTTGATAAGTGCCTTCAAGTTGGTTCTGAACCATAGCAACCCCTTAAAGGGTTTCCGAGGAGTGACTGGACTGGTGAACTTGAACAGCCGACATTGCAATTCAAACCAACTTTGCGATCTAGCACATTAACCCACAGCGCCACTCTGGGACTCCTAATAAACTACAGAACAGTGCAATATAATTTTTATATGCACTGGAAAGCCAAAAAATTCACGTGCCTCCCTTTATTGAGATTGGCTTTATTGTGGTGGTCTGGAATTGAACTTGCAGTATCTCCAAGGTATGCCTGGGTAACTGCCTATGAGTACTCACTCATCACAAACGCCTGTTGAGATCATCTCAAAATGTGGCATGATTGAATACAGACTAAATTAACCATTTTATCCTAACTATGCTGTGTCAGAGTTGTATCCTTTCACCATACTTATTCAATCTGTATGTTGAACAAATAATCTGAGAAGCTGGATTATACAAAGTAGAATGTGGCATCAGGATTGGAGAAAGGCTCATTAACAACCTGCAATATGAGGACAACGCAGCTTGCTTATACATGAAGATCAAAGACCACAGCCTTCAGTATGGATTATACCTCAATAAAAAGAAAACAGAAGTCCTCTCAACTGGACCAAATAAATAAACATCATGATAAATGGAGAAAAGACTGAAGTTGTCAAGGATTTCATTTTACTTGAATCCACAATCAATGCTCAGGGAAACAGCAGACAAAAAAATCAAATGACACATTCACTGCACAAGCCTGTTGTAGAAGACCTCTTTGAAGTGTTAAGGAGAAAAGGTGTCACTTTGAGGAGAAGGGGAAGGATGAGGACATCAGAGACATAATGGCTCCTAGGAGAGTGGTTGTTGTTGTTGTTGTTAGGTGCCATCGAGTTGGTACCAACTCATATGGACCCTATGCACAGCAGAACGAAACACTGTCCGGTCCTGGGCCAAACTCACTAGTGTTGCCATGCTTGAGTCCATCAATGCTGCTACTTGGCCAATCCATCTCGTTGGGGGGTGAGGGGGATGTCTTCCTCTTTATCTCTGACCCTCCACCTTACCAAACATAATATCCTTCTCCAGTGACTGGTCCTTCCTGACAATATGTTTGAAGCATGAGAGACAAAGTTTGGCCATCCTAGCCTCCAAGGAGCACTCTGGCTGCACTTCTTCCAACACAGATCTGTTGGTTCTTTTGGCAGCCCATGGCACTTTCAATATTCTCCTCCAACACCACAACTCAAAAGCATCAATTCTTCTACAGTCTTCCTTATTCACTGTCCAGCTTTCGCATGCATATGAGGTTATTGAAAATACCATGGCTTGAGTCAGGGGCACCATAAGTCCTGAAGCTGACATCTTTGCTCTTCAACACTTTAAAATTCTTGTGCAGCAGATTTGCCTAATGTAATACGATGTTTGATTTCTTGATCGTTGCTTCTCTGAGTGCTGATAGTTGATCCAAGAAGAATGAAGTCCTTGACCACTTCAACCTTTTCTCCATTGATAAGACTGTTGTTTATTGGTCCAGTGGTGAGGATTTCTGTTTTCTTTACATTGAGATGTAATCCATACCGAAGGCTGTGCTCTTTGTTCTTCATCAGTAAATGTTTTAAGTTCTCTTCACTTTCAGCAAGCAAGGTTGTATCATCTGCATATCACAGGTTGTTAATGAATCTTCCTCCAATCCTGATGCCACGTTTTTCTTCATAAAACCCAGCTTCTCAGATTATTTGCTCAGCATACAGGTTGAATTAAGTATGGTGACAGAATACAACCCAGTCGCACATCTTTCTTAATTTTAAACCATTCAGTGTTCCCATGTTCTGTTTGAACAACTGCCTCTTGGTCCAAGTACAGATTCCTCATGAGCACAATTAAGTGTTCTGGAATACTCATACTTCGCAATGTTGTCCATAGTTTGTCATGATCCACACAACTGAAAGCCTTTGCATAGTCAATAAAGTGCAGGTAAACATCTTTCTGATATTCTCTGCTTTCAGCCAAAATCCATCGGACATCAGCAATGATCTTCCTGGTTCCACGGCCTCTTCTGAATCCGGCTTGACCCTCTGGCAGTTCTCTGGAGGAGAGCAGTGGTGGGGTGGATAAGCCTTTTGCTGTTAAAAGCCATCAAGTCAGTTCCAACTCACAGTGATCCTGCCCAGGGATTTCAAGAAGTGGCTGGTGTGTTTGAACTGCCAATCTTTCAGTTAGCAGTCCACTGCTTATCCTACAGTGCCACATCTGGAATCCAAAACCTCATCTTTCTTGTGTGGAGTGACTGGTGGGCTTGAACAGCTAACTTTGTGGTTCTCAACTCCAGCACTTATCTTACAGAGACACTGCACTTCTCAAGATAGGCTGTGTTGTTGTTAAGTGCCGTTGAGTTGATTCTGACCAACAGTGACCCTGTACAGGGTTTCCAAGGAGCAGCTGGTGAGTCTGAACCACCCTACTTGCAGTTCAAATGGCTTTGCAGTCTGACGCATTAGCCCACAGTACCACTCCAGGACTCCAAGATAGGCCTAGTGGGCCCCAAATACCAGGCAAAGCAAGGTCTGGACTTCAGGTAGCCCTGGCAGCCCAATGGTTAAGCACTGGACTGGTAACAGAAAAGGCTGGCAGTTGACCCACCCAGTGGTGATCTGCTTCCAAGGACATCACAGTTTAGGAGCAGCTCTGCTCTGTCACATGAGGTGGCTGCGAGCTGGAATCAACGTGATGGCACCTAACAGCAACCACCACTAACACAACAATCCCAAACTTGTTTTTAAAATGATAAAACTTTTAGTTTATTTTCTGTTTTTAGAAGATAATTGTCCTGAGAGTTATTTTAAAAGCTAGGCCAGAAAACACTCATTATTTTATAACCACATCTCACTTTTAACCAAAAATAACATTTCTCAGCTTGCTCATCTACTTTACTCACCAGACCTGGCCCTAAGTGACTCCTACTTCCAAAAATCAAATAGACTTTCAACAGAAAAGAATCTGTCACCACTGAAGACACTGAAAAGCATGAGTCATAGACTCTAGAAGAAATTCAAAAGAGGAGTTCCAAAAATATTTTGAGGAATGGCAGCATTATGGAAAAGCGTACAGGCTCCCAGGACGATGACGCTAAAGGTGAGCAACATTCACTCTGGGGTATAAGGAGGTCTCCTATGTGTCAAATTTACCTTGAGTTTTCAGTCATCTGTAACCACATGAGTTAGCATATTATATTAAGTTATATATGGGTCGCTATGAGTCAGAACTGACT